TATTTTTTTATCAGCTCACGGAAAGTGTGTAGGTGGTATAAAAATTAATCCAGAGAGCTCACAACACATAAGATGTACTTAGTAAACAAATAACAAAAATTCGTCAATATATCATTAATACTAACATGGCTGCTGCAACCAAGTGGATATCTGGGTTAGGATTCCAAGCAACCAGAGCATTAGGTCGATGGTAGGTCCAACCAGATTCATCATCACTTTCAGCTCCTTGTTGTGGTACTTCCTGAAGGTCATCTTGACTATTTTCATTAATCTTCTGGACTTTCTCACATTTCCTCTTCTGCTTTCCTAGGACAACCGAACGCCATTCATTGGCTTGTCTTAAGGCGCGGAGATTTCCAGGAAGTAAGCGATAACACCGAAAGCAATAGTTAGTTTCTGTTTCCCAGATGCGAAGGCAACCATCAACAGGAGAGATGCTGGCCAACCACTGGCCGCATGGAGATATGCTAAGACATGTAACGCGACCAATGTGGCCACTGAGCGAGGGTAATACAAAAAAATAAATTTTTAGGCTATTCACTCAATGACCATAACAAATTCTGATCGGTCCTCCTTACTACCACACTTACAGGTTAATATAAAAATAATAGCCTTAGTAGTTTAAATGAATGCTTGGGAGGTGAGAAATTAATAACTCGTGAGCTGATATGAAAGAAAATGTTTACCAAATTACTGAGTCATTGTATCGAAAATGAATAGAATCTAAAAATAGGTTGCGAGCCTGAAACCCTCTGAATATATTTTTGGATTGAATCGAGCCATTAAGTTCATTACCTATAGCAGAAAGTTTTCCTAACACCTTTTCAAAAGTTATTTTATGATACTCAAACCATATTTTGGGATGTCGTGAAAATGCATTGCATCATGTGACTGAGCTATTGCATGAGTAAATAAATAAATGCAGTAGCAAAAATGGCTCTACGTAAGGTGCTTTGACGAAAAAAGAATGCTAAATATAAATACGCGTATGGGTGGAATATTGTAGCCAATTTTAATTGAAAAAATAGTTTCATAAACTATTAGGTTGCGACTGGATATATTTGTTCTACTTCTAGGTAAGCATAGGCGCTGTAATGATTTATACTCCAGTCAATTTTGTTACATATATCGTCCTGACCAGCTAGTAATTAATCATCTATCAACACACGTAGGAAAGTAGTAGTGAGTAGATAATGAAACAAAGTAACAACTTTTTAACTAAACTGTTTAATGCAGTCTTAGTGAAAATAATAGAACGCTACTGATACATATATTTTGCCCACTAAAAAATGCCCGTGCTTTAAATTTATGTCTCCATAATAATAATTTTACTCACTTATAGGTAAGACCCAATGTACTAGGATATGGACGCAGATCAGATAAATTGGGCATTGGTGGCAGCATTGCCTCCGGAGTTGTCTCCACACGCTGTTTTTCATATCTTGCGGCCATAACAAGGTCTTTGACACGTTCTTCTCGGTCCCGAAGATGCATTGTAGACCATGAAAGATGGAGCAAGGTTTGAAACTGTCGAGGAAATTGTGGAGGATAAGAAGAAAGTCCCCCCCCTCGAACACGCTCACGCCAAGTGCGCATAACACGACGCTCCTAATAAAAGTTAAGATATACTTTTTAAAAATAAAAAGTAAAACCATTCGCAAATTATTTCTACCAAAAGCAAGTATTAAAAAATCTATGAAGTCAGACGATTTTTCAAGACTATTTAAAATAGTCTGCTGAGAAATAAAGATTGATGGTAAAATGCAATCGAAGCATAATATTGAAAATAATTATTTAACATTAGATAATTATCAGGAATAATAAGATTAGAGGTGTTTGAACAAACCAAAGCACAAGATGTACATTACAACACGCACAAGATTCCCGTCAAGAAGAGAAGAGCAATAATTGCTTTAAGACTTTTAGGTAAAATAACAAAAT